GAAAATATTAAAAACTTCTGAACTTGGAGCTTTCTTACTCCTCTCCTATTAGCTCTATATTTTATTCAATATGAAATGTTATTGTCATTGTTAAGTGCTGTCAAGTTGATTAGCTCTATATTTTATTCAATATGAAATGTTATTGTCATTGTTAAGTGCTGTCAAGTTGATTCCAACTTACAGCAACCCTGTATAAGGTTTCCAAGGAGTAGCTGGTGAGTTTGAACTGCCAACCTTGCAGTTCAAGGTAAATGTAGCTGGTAGTTTTATGTTAATAGCCCTTGAGTTCTTGGACCCATCCTTTCCTTTGATATATCTATAACCACCATGTCCTCAGGCCCTTGCATTTCAGAGCTAGATGACTTAAATAGCCTTCTTGCTGATTTCATATATCCTAGTCCCTCTCATTGTTAGGTCCTTTGATCAACTTTTATATTAATCTCTCAGATTCATATACCACAGGTTAGGATTTAGGCTTCTCCTCACCTCCACTTCACCCTCTTTATCTCTTGTTACTTTCCTAGACTGAACCAATTGAATTCAGTAATTGTTGTTGTTAAATGCTTTCAAGTCAATTCTGCCTCAAAGCAGCCCTGCACAAGCTTTTGAATGCTGTAAATCTATGCAGGGGCAGAAACCCTCATCTTTCTCTTGCAGAGCAGCTGGTGGTTAAGACCCTACCCTGGGAGGCATGGCTTGATGGCAGCGAGGGTAGGTGCAGTGACATTCGCCATCAGCAAAACCACAGAATACCAGGCAAAGCGGGTTCTGGGCAGAGCTCCAAAACCCTCAACCACATAGGTAGGAATATTTTACAAGTTTGAAGGCTTATAGCTAGTGGAACTTGTAGCAGAAGTAAGAAATCACGTACTTTTGAATCTGCACCCGAAGCCAAAAACCTGGGCGAGACCAAACAGAAAGACCAAGCGGGGGAACAGACACAGTACGGAATAACACCGCGGGAACCTTGGAGCAAAGGTGGAATTAGAAAAACAAAAAGGGAATGATAAACTCAACATTCATAGAAGCAGCAGTCAAGAACTCAAAGGACACACTACATTAGTTAAATCTGCTATACAAGACCTCTTTAAAGTGTTCAAGAGCAAAGGGTCAGTTTGAGGACTAAGGTGTGCCAGACCCAAGCCATGGTATTTTCAATAGCCTCATATGCATGTGAAAGTTAGACAATGAATAAGGAAGACCATGGAAGAATTGATACATTTGAGTATGGTTGGAGAAGAATATTAAAAGTGCCATGGACTGCCAGAAGAATAAACAAATCTGTGTTGGGTGAAGTATAGCCAGAATGCTGCTTAGAAGCCAGGATGACGATGTTTCATCTCTCATACTTTGGCATATTATCAGGAAAGATCAGTCCTTAGACAAGGACATCAGTCTTGGTCAAGTGGAGGGTCAGTGAAAAAGAGGAAGAGCCCTACAAGATGGATTGACACAGTGGCAGCAGCAGTGGGCTCAAGTGTAGCAACGATTGTGAGGTTGGCGTCGGACCAGGCAGTGTTTCATTCTGTTGTCCATAGAGTCACTATGAACTGGACCCAACTTGATGGTACCGAACAACAGTCACTAGCAACTGATTCATTTCAATCACTGCTGAGAATTGACATTTCTCTCTCAGACACACTGAACTAGAATCTACATTTTCACAAGATCTCCAGGTGAACTTTATAAATTAATCTCCTGGTGACTCTTATGTAGACATAAGAATAAAACCTAAATGAACCAGTTTGAAACCCTGACCAGAATAATAATCAGTGCTGACCAGTATGGTGACCTGTTTTTCTCCTTCTTCTGAATCTATGCTTCTGTTGCAGACTTACTTTTTTTTAAATTCCAATTGCCTCTTCCATTCCCTGTTTATGTGTATCCATTCTAATGTGCTTAGGTCCTTATAACTATACATTTGAGGAGTCTAGTTGGTGTAAAGTTTATGTACTCTGTTGCTAATTGAAATGTTGGTAGTTTAAACCCACCAGTTGTTCCACAGGAGAAAAGACCTGGTGATGTGCTCCCAAAAATATTTCAGCCTATGTTGTTGTTGTTAAGTGCCCTGGAGTCGGTTCCAACTCATAGCGACCCTGTAGAAGTTTTCCAAGGAGCAGCTGGTGAGTTTGAATCTCCAACCTTGAAGCTGAAACCAACTTTGTGGCCCAGTGTTTATCCTACAACCCAACACCAGAACTGCACTATGGGTAATTCTAGTCTCTTCTATAGGGTAGCTATGAATTGGAATCAACTCAAGAGCATACAACATCAACAACCACCTACATATTTGCTTGAAAAATATGTAGTATCGTTACGTATGTTTTCAATGTATGTAATGATATTTGCCTATTTTCTTTATTCATTGCAATGTTTAAGATGTGTTGCTATGGTATATCTAAAGTGTGAGTCCTAAAAACCACATCGAATTACATATTTGTATCACTCTTAAGATTTTTAAGTCTTTCAGTTATGAAAATCAAAGTTACTTCAAGTTCCCTGCTATAACATCACTACAGCTAATATTCTCATACAGATCTCTAAAGACTGTAAATAACATATATACAGCCTTATTTGAGAGTTTCTTTGGAATTTTTCCAGAGCAAGATCACTGGATCATAGGGCGTATATAGCACATATTTTATGTTGTTAAATACAGTTACATTGCTTAGCAGGATGGCTCTATCTTTTTTTGTTTATTCTTTTATTATTATTATTGTGAATTGAGTGAAGGTTTATAGACAAGATCATCAGTTTTATATTAAACAAATAATACACTTTGTTTCATCTCAGTGGTTGCAATCCTTTCCGTGGAACAATAGTCATTCCCTTCCTTCCTGTGACTCCCATTCCCCTTCCACCCACCTTCACATCCCTTCTCCCCACTGTCCATAGGTATGGGTGCTCCCTTTGATTTTGAATGATTGACTGTCCCATCATTCATCTTACTAGTATTGTTGTTCCCCTGATATACCTAGGTTCCCCCTAGAACAGGTGGCAGTGGTAGCTGGGCACCATCTAATTCTTCTGGTCTCACAGACATGGAGACTGAGGTTCACATGTTAGAATGGCTATATCTTAATTATAGTAATGAGAGTTCTTTTTGCCTTCTAACAGCCTTGATAACACCATTTTAATTTTTGCCTTTCTGTTAGGTATAAAAGTAGTATCCCATTGTTTTAATTTCTATTTTATTCCTGTAAATTTAATCACATCTTGATATCCTTATTAGCTACTTAGGCTTCCCTTTCTGTGAGTTCCCTTTTCATATCTTTTGATTATTTTTCTATTGGATTTTATGTTTGTATTAAATTATAGGAATTTCTTGTATAGTCTAGCTGTTGAATCCTTTGTCAGTTTTAGATACTGCAAATATTTTCCACATTTGTCATTTATCCTAATTCTGTTCGTGGCTTTGCTTATAGAACAGAAATCCATAATTTTGATGAACTCAAATCCAATCATATTTCACTTTATAGCTTGTATTTTTAGAGTCTTATTTATGAAGTCTTTCTGTCCTTTAATGTCTTCTGCTCTATAGTATTACCTTGCAGTGATTTTGATACAAATCTATCTACCTGGCCCTTTGAAGACTTTCTTTCCTAAGTCTCTCAGCCCTAACTCTCAGGAGGCTTGGCAGTTGGGGTTAATGCTTGGCTGCTCCTGGTAGAGGAAAAAAAACGCAAGAAAGTTGATGTACCACTCACTCCTCTCCACTAAGCCCTGCTCTTCCATTGCCAAGGTTGGGTTCCTGCAACACTGTTTGTACAACTCGAATGCTGTCTGCCCAGCCGTGCGTAATGGGGAAGGGATGCATACCTGAGTACATAGAATCTTCCTGCCAGGAATTTGGAATTAGAACTGTTATTAACCAGTTTCTGTTGCTCTCTTGAAGGGCATGCAAATGGAGGAGCTCTGTGATGACCACCTTCCACAAAGGCTTGTGGAAATTGTTTACAGAGAAAGCAGGATGAAGAAAATGTGCCCATCAAGACAGGAAAAAAGCCTGTCTCCATAGAGAGCCTGAGAGAGACTAAGAGAATGAGAACGGAGCTCTCCTGGTTCCTGATGACCTTCCAGTTTCAAGTCTTATTCTCTCTTGCGACCAGATTGCATTTCCTTATCTGTATCAAGTTGGAGGTGACTGTGGCACTGTAGGATAAATACTGAAATGCTGACCACAAGGTCAGTGATTCAAACCCATTAACTGCTCCTCAGAAACCCTATGAGTCGGAACAGACTTGACAGTACTTAACAACAACTGCTGGAAAAGATAGACTCCAAAGTGTATAATGGCCCTAAAATAATAGAAGTTTATTTATCACTCACATAAACAGTTACAGACGGCTCTAAGTTGGTAGGCAACAAGAGTGAAGGGCTCTGTGCCACATAGATATTCAGGAACCCAGGCTGGTAGGGGCTCTGCCATTGTCTACACATGACTTCCGGTGTCTCCTTGGGTGTCAGCATCCAGTCTGTAGATGGAACATGAACATGAAGTATTAACATGGTAGGTTTTTATAGGCCAGGTCTTGAACTAGCACACATCATTCAATTTCTTTTGCAGGAACTCAAACACATGGCCACATTTAACTGTATTGGAGTCTGTGAAATATTTATAGTCTAGTTGTGTACCCAAAAAGAAGAAAAATGGGTTTGGTGAATAGTTAGAAACTGCCACCTCATATTTGGACTTCTAGTGTGGCGCTGTAGGATCAGCACTGGATTGTGAACCACATGGTTGGCAGTTCGAACAACCAGCCGCTTCTTGGAAACCCTATACAGGATCGCTATGACTTGGAGTGGACTCCACAGCACTTAACAACAATGACAGTTGTGGACCCCAAAGGAAGAAAAATGGGTTTGGTGAACAGTTAGAGGGTTTTCTTAAACTTGTTTTTCATTGGCTTCTGTTATTTGTACTTTGATGCATAAAGTAGTTCCATAATAATGATATTTAAATATAGAAGAAATAATGACAGATACATTTATTTTCTCAGGAAAACCGGGCCGATTTCCACCCATGATGCATCATCACCAGGAACCCTCCAATGGCCAGACCCCTGGGGCTCGATTCCAGAGGTCTCACCTTGCAGAGGCATTTGCAAAGGCCAAAGGAAGCAGTGGAGGTACTGGAGCAGCCGGTAGTGGAAGAGGCCTGATGGGGCAGATTATTCCAATCTATGGTTTTGGGATTTTCTTATATATACTGTACATTCTATTTAAGGTAAGTGGAGTCATCTTGGTCATATTATATCAGTGAAAATATGATATAAAAATTTTCTGTCTGCATTAAAACCCTTTGTAGTTCATAATCCTCTTCCAAGTCTGCTCTGTATTCTCTTTAAGTCTTGCCTCCTCTCTGCAATATCTACTTAGGTAGATATTATCCTGGTTTTACAGGTGAGAAAATCTCCTTTGCAGTTTAAATGCTTTTCCTAGAAATGACAACAAAAAAGTAGAACCAGGACTTGAACCTGGGTCTTCTGGTTCCTAATCCAGTGAGCATTCTAATTTAAAGACAAGGAAGACATTTTTGATTGAGCATCACTGCCAGCTGAAAAAGCTGTTCTATGAACAGCTTCATTACTAGATTTGACAGAGTGATTTCCAGGTAGATGCTGTGAAGCCAAATAGTGACTGTATTAGCACCATGTTATCTCCTTAAGTCCAGGAGTGTGAGGTGCTGTTTCAAACTTCATCTCCAGTAATTCTCTTGAGGCAGAACAGCCATGTCCTGCAATGAAGCCTGATATTTCCTAGCTTTGGAGAGACGTGATTAAGGTCATTTAAAAGCAGCTCCCCAGTTAAGTTCCACCTCCATACAAGCTTTTGTTGGCCACCAGCTTCATGCATGCATTGTGGGATGGAGGCAGGAGCTTCCCTTTGCTCTCCTAACTAGAATAAGAGGTGTGTTCCTTGTGGCATAGGAATTCTATAGGTAGCTGTGTTAACTCTACAAGACTATTCCCAGGGGCTGCACATCTCCTTCTAGTTGAACATGGGCAAGAAGGGTGACTTAGTATAAGATTTTTTTCTCCCTGTGCTTGCATAATTTTTTATTTGGAGAACATCTCATCTTTTGGTGACTTTTTTTTTTTTTTTTTTTAAGATGCTTTGCTAGTGTTGCTATTTGATTTGATTCCTGACTAAGTTTTTGTCTCCCAACCTTTTCATTATTTTTTTTTTTTCATTTAATATGAGGGGTTCCATGACTTTGAGGTTCTGAGCTGCTGTTGATGTGCTGTACCTCCTTCAATTCTCAGCTCTCCAAGGGGAAAACAACCACTGACGATCATAAATGCTCTACTGCCACATCTGGAAATGCCCACCGGAAAATTAGTAAGTGCCCCTTCTCAGTATGGTCACAAGGAATAACAGCAGTAGACAGCCTTGGTAGCATGGCAGTGATGTCTTGGGCTGCTAACCGAAAGCTCAGCAGTTAGAGTCTACCAGCCACTTCATGGGAGAAAGAAGAGGTTTTCTGCTCCCATCAAGATGTACTCCCGTAAAGACTATACACGGATCGCTATGAGTTGGAACCAACTCAGTGACACACTACTACAGACAGTAAAAGGGACAGTCTTTGGATATGAGATAAAAAGCATTTCTCAAAAACTGCGCCAAATTAATCTGATGCCATTTTTACTTTAACTGGGAATTCTCAAAAGTTTCCATATTAATTTGGGCTCTTAAGGGAACAGTAGTAATAAAACGTTATACTTTTTATATATGCTGTTGTTGTTAAGTGCCGTCGAGTTAGTTCCGACTTGCAGCAACCCTGAACAGGGTTTCTGAGGCTGTAAATCTTTACGGGAGCAGAAAGCCTCATCTTTCTCCTGTGGAGCAGCTGGTAGTTTCGAACTGCTGACCTTGAGGTTTACAGCCCGATTCGTAACCACTATGCTATCAGAGCTTTTTATATATAGTCTACTATTTTATATATTAACAAATTAATATTTCACCTTTGAAATGGGTTACTTCTCATTTTTGTACTTCCAAATACTGGTAGCAAATATCTTTATTTCACAGAGAGGAAAACTGAGGCAGATAAATCAAGTCATTACCAAAACCAGTTATTAGATTTAGGGACAGAGTTTAATACTTCTGACTCTTAGGACATAGTTATCACGTGTTTATTGACCACCTAGAATAATTTTTGCTTTCTGGAGAAATGCAAATGCATAAGGCATGGCTCTTTCCTCTAAGAATATATAGTCTAGAATGAATGTCAGGAAAAATAACTTATGAAAAGTTTAACTACCTAGAAGGGACTTGGCAAAGCATGATGAGAAATCATGTCTAATAGGCGTGGTTGTGGAGGAGGGCCCATCAGGTAGGTAGAATGGCTGTGTAAGACACAGGCAGACAAGCAAGAGGCCTTGAGTTTATGGGGAATTTGAGGTGTGGTCATGTAGAGCATCTGGGAGAAGATGTCCTGATGAGTAGGTAGGTTATAGTCAGATCATTGAAAACCCTGGAGACTAAGCTCCTTTATTCTCTAGATAATAAAGCCTCATCAGAAGTTTTTAAAAGAAAACTATAATCAAAATGGAATGTGGCTATGCCATGGAAGTGTCTTCCCTGGGCCATAACTGCTTATGGGATAACTCTTGGATTCTGTATGGAAATAGATACATCCCAATCATATTCTGCATCCTTTTTGGAAATCTTAAATATTGAAGGAATCATTTACAAAGGCTGTTATATATTTGATTGAGATAGTATCTAAACAACAGTGAGAGTAAATGCACTGATACAATCATTGTGGACTCTGAAGACTAGCAGATTCTGAATCCTGTCATATAATGCAATTCAAACAGAAGAAGTAAATCAAATGAATTCCTAGGAGCAGCTATTTTAATAATGGTATTAGTATTACCAGCTTCTTATCCTTCAATTATGAATTAAGCAGAAAACGAAAACAACCTGAGCACTCATGTGGCACAGTACTCTAAACACTTATAAGTGTTGACAAAATGCCTAATAGTGTATTCTAGAACTGTTAAAGGGCCTTTAAAATATTACATTTTACAGTGACCTTCTAAATATATCTAAATCAAAGGATATTCAACTCTAAAATTTTAAAACTAGATTATCTACATAAAGAGCATTTTAATTTGTTATGCCTTGAAGTTCCTTGCATGCCCTGAGATATTTATTTTGTTTGTTATTTAGGGTCTTATTGTTGCTCCAGTAGATAGATGCTTCTGGGAGACATAGTTACACTAATCAAAGCCCCTCTTCACCTGAAATGACAGGGGTACAAGAACTTGGAGAGGGAGGTCTCAGCCCCAGTTCAAAATTTCCTTTATTGAAAAATCTTAACATTTAAACTATTACCTACCAGATATGTTGTTACACCTTAGGCACAGGTGAAATATTGCTCATTTTAGGGTCTTAACTCCTTTTCTAAAGTGCCTTATCTTCGAACATCATTTGGATCAATAAGGGTATGTTTATCTTCTGCACTTTTTCTTGGGTGCCTTATTAGGGGTATATTTTCACTCCTAGGTATTTTCTTTAGTTTGGCATGCTGAATTTCTGTGTGTAAGAGGGACTGATTTGCTCATCACTCACTAAATATGTCCTATAGATCTCTGTGCCCAAACCTCAGAACCTTTTTAAAATCTTGATTGGATTAGCTGCAGAAACTGGCACTTTTTCCTCTCAGAGTCTCAGAACTGGCCTGGATTACTGTAGTTTGTCACAGCCAGCTGTGTTTCAGAAAAGGGCTTAGGGTATTGTCTGTGATGGTTCTTAGGTTGATATTTATTTTTCAGCCAATTTTGAGCTTGCTCAACTTCAAGAAAAACTGAAAGAGACAGAGGAAGCCATGGAAAAACTAATCAACAGAATGGGACCTAATGGTGAGAGGTAGGTTTTTAGATCATTTCCCATTGAGAGAACTCACTCAAATGTTTACTCTTCTTTGGTCTATGAACTATTTATTTTCATTTTATGTAATTGTCATATTATTTGTCTTTTACATATCATATCTCATATAGCATTGCCATTTTCTTTTTATAAGCAATCTCAATTTTCTAAGAGAAAAGGCATATGTTTAGTGTTGGGCAAATTACTGAATAAATGAGTAAATATGTGAGAGTGAAATATGCAGTTTCTGAAACTTCATCTTCACCATGCTAACATGGTAATATGAAAAAGGCTTTTGATATTATCTAATAAATGTTTTTAGACATAAAATACCTTTTATTGGTGAGCTATATAAGTCAGTATACATGTTGAAGTAATGAAGTCTTTTGGAAGATTGGTATAGTGCCACATTTGACTGACACTAAGCACAATATCCAGCCCAAGAATACAAAGATGAAGGAAAGGATCTAGGGATCAGAATTGAGGTATCATCATTTCTGTCCTGTGATCAGTCAAATTCCCCTCTTGGAGAAGCATATCCAGTGCCGATGAGTAACCTCCCAGAAGTATGACACGGCCTAGGGGAATAGTGAGGGTGCAACCTGTGGCAGCAAAGGACCTTGACAGACATACTGAGTATGCGTGAAGGACTATAGATTTCTGGCATAGATTGCTGGAATGGAACCACTTTGAAGACAAATTTTGTCTTGTTTTGTTTACTGTGTTCACATATTAGGTACTAAGTAAATACTTGTTGTTAGAATAAGAATATTCACTTTTGATACAAGCATGAATACATGGTAGAAAAGTAAAATCGTGGGCATTTCCTGTTTAAAGCTCTCGCCTCAATTCCTGACTGGTACATGCAGGGGTCTACAGGCCTTGTTTCATAGATACTACTCACCTGATCCTCATCAAATGATAATTGCTTTTTGAGTGAATGAATGTCCCAAATGGAACTCATCATCTATACCGAGCTGAACCGATTCTACCTGTAATATTTCCCTTCTCAGAAAATGGCTCCACCATCTACATAGTTATCAAAAGCAGAAATTAAATATTATCCTTGATTTCCTCTTCCCTTCAATTCCCATATTTCTTGTCGAAACACCCATTGCCAAGTCATTTCTACCTGATTAATAAGTCTGTTTTTCTACAAAACATGGTCAGGGAAAGCTCTAAAAATGCTTTTAGTTGAAATTAATGAAAGAGTAAATGAGGGAATGAATGCTTTTACTTTTGACATAGATCAGAACTACCTCATAGGATTTTTTTCTCCCTTCAATCCACTTTCTATTTTCCAAACAAATGCATTATGTCTTTTGTTTTACCCCTTCAACAGGCCCCTGTTGCTCTTGATAAAGTCTAGAGTCCTTAACATGACTTATATGGCCCTAATGACTTGGTCTGTGCTATTCATAAGGTTTTCACTGACTAAATATTTGGAAGTAGATCATCACTCCTAAACATGGGAACACTGAACGGTTTAAAATTAAGAAAGGTATACGACAGGGTTATACTTATTCAACCTGTATGCTGAGCATATAATCTGAGAAGCTGGGTTCTATGAATAAACACGTGGCATTTTATTGGAGGAAGACTCATTAACAACCTGCGATATGCAGATGAGACAACCTTGCTTGCTGACAGTGAAGAGGACTTAAAACATTTCCTGATGAAGATCAAAGACCAGAGCCTTCGGTATGGATTGCATCTCAATATAAAGAAAACAAAAGTCCTCACCACTGGACCAATAAATAACATTCTTATCAACGGAGAAAAGATTGAAGTTGTCAAGGATTTCATTCTTCTTGGATCAACTATCAACACCCATGGAAGCAGCAGTCAAGAAATCAAACGACATATTGCCTTGGGCAAATCTGCTGCACAAGAACTTTTTGAAGTGTTGAAGAGCAAAGATGTCAGCCTGAGGACTAAGGTGCACCTGACCCAAGCCATGGTATTTTCAATAACCTCATGGTATTTCAATATTCATACAAATGCTGGACAGTGAATAAGGAAGACCATAGAAAAGTTGATGCATTTGAGTTATGATGTTGGAGGAAAATATTGAAAGTGCCATGGATTGCCAAAAGAACCAACAGATCTGTGTTGGAAGAAGTACAGCTAGAGTGCTCCTTGGAGGCCAGGATGGCCAAACTTCATCTCTCATACGTTACACATATTGTCAGGAGGGCCCAGTCGCTGGAGAAGGATATCATGTTTGGTAAGATGGAGGGTCAGAGAAAAAGAGGAAGACTCCCACTGAGATGAATTGTCAGAGTTGCAGCATCAGTGGGCTCAAGTGTGGTAACAATTATGAGGTTGGCCCAGGATCAGGCAGTGTTTTGTTCTGTTGTGCATAGGGTTACTATGAGTCAGTACCGACTCGATGGCACCTAACAACAACAACTTGGTCTTGCTATTTCTTTTGCTTTATCTTTCTCCATCTATCTTTCTCTGTCTTTAGTCCAACCACACTGACTATTTTCTGCTTCTCTAAAATGCCTGCCAAATTTTGCTTCTAGATCTTTGCATATACTCTTCTCCTTTGCCTATGGTGCTTTTTCTCTCACCACACACACACTTATTTTAACTCTTGCTTGTCTTATAAGTTTCAACATAGACATCATTTTTTTTCTGAGAATCCTTCCCTAAACCTCTTCCTATATGCTCCCATATCACATGAGGTAGCTTGGTATGGTACGTCGCATTACTTTCTGATCTTCTATTAACTTTCTGTCTTCCCTAAAGCCCTATAACCTTATTGTTGTTAAGTACTGTCGAGTCAGTTCCGACTCATAGCAACCCTGCAGAGGGTTTCTGTGGAGTGGCTGGTGAGCTTGAATTGCTGACCTTGTGGCTCAAACCGACCTTGCAGTCTAGTGCACTAACCCATAGCACCACACCAGGACTCTATCATTGAGGGTTGTTGTTGTCAGGTGCCATCGAGTCGGAACCGACTCATAGCGACCCCATGCACAGCAGAATGAAACAATATCCGATCCTGGGCCAACCTCACTACCGC